ACTCACACACAATCACACACACACACACTCACACACATACACACACACAGACACAGACACACACACACAGACACTCACACAAAATCATACACATACAGACACTCACACACACACAGACACACACACTATCACACAGATACACACACACAGACACACACACACACACAGACACGCAAAATCATACACTCACACAATCATACACACACACATACACAGACACTCACACACAGACACTCACACACAATCATACACACACAGACACACACACAATCATACACACACACACACACACTCTCTCTCTCTCGGATGTCCATCGAAGTCCGATGACGACGTCCACGCCTTTATCGGTGAGATCTTTGATGGCTAAACAGTCCTATCCTGGACCCACACATTCGATTGCAGGTGGGGCATATGTATGTAATGGTAGTAGTGATGGCTGTATTTCTCCTGGCTCGCTTCTGCTGTCTTCTGATTGTCCTCTCCATCTCCAGCATATGAACCCCAATGAGGACAATAAAAGCAGTCAAAACTAACAAAAGAGCAACAATATATAAGTGCAAATGACAAGTCTTGGTTAGCCTAACACAGTACACGTAGCAAGGTGTATATATATACATATATAATACATATACATACACACACACATATATATATATATATATACATATACACACATACATACATCTCTCTCTCTCTCTCTCTCGGTTGTCCATCGAATCCGATGACGACGTCCACGCCTTTATCGGTGAGATCTTTGATGGCTAAACAGTCCTATCCTGGACCCACACATTCGATTGCAGGTGGGGCATATGTATGTAATGGTAGTAGTGATGGCTGTATTTCTCCTGGCTCGCTTCTGCTGTCTTCTGATTGTCCTCTCCATCTCCAGCATATGAACCCCATCTCTACACAGTTTTTGCCAGATGGTACGGTCAGCAGCAACATCCTCCAGGTCCTCGGGTCTGATCTTACACTTCTTCAAGATGTTCTTCATCTGATCCTTATATCGCTTCTTCGGCCCCCCAGCTGAACGTCGACCATGATGTAGCTGGCCGTATAGCACTCTGCGGGGCAGTCGACATGGGGGCATCCTTATCACGTGCCCCAACCACTGCAGCTGGCGCTGGGTGATCATGGCCTCAATACTTCTACAGTTGGTCTTTTTAAGTATTTCAGTGTGAGGCACACGATCACGCCAGGTAACTCCCAGAATGCGCTGAAGGCAGCTTATATGGAAGTGCTCTAGGGACCTGATGTGACGGCTGTAGGTTACCCAAGCTTCACAGCTATAGAGCAGGGTAGTGACACAGACCGCTTGGTATACAGCGACCTTTGTGGAGGGATGAAGATTCTTGTTATGAAAGACTCTACGTCTCTGGATTTCGTTGTCGATGCCACAGTCCTCAGCGAGAATACTCCCCAGATATTTAAAAGATGGCACTACTGACAGCTGTTCATCCCCAACAGTGAAGGCAGGAAGTGTGGGTGGGACATTGGTACTCCATTGGCAAACCACTTCTGTCTTGGTGGTGTTGACAGTGAGCCCCATCCTGCCGTACGCCCTAACCGCCACAGCAAGGACAGTTTGAAGGTCCTCTGGAGTATGGGCCACAAAAGCACAGTCATCTGCATACTGCAGCTCCAGGACCCGCTCTCTACAGAGTTTTTTGGTTGCGTGTAGCCTCCTAATATTAAAGAGGTTGCCGTCTAATCTGAAGTCTACTGCTATGCCACTGGTATTTTCAATCTCATTGTGGAGAAGCTTGGTGACACACAGGAGGAAGATGTTAAAGAGCACTGGTGCTAGCACACACCCCTGCCTCACCCCTGTGCGCACAAGGAAGGGCTCGGACTCTTGTCCGCCTATGGACACCCGAGCAGTCATCCCATCATGGAACTGGCGGAGGATGTTAACAAATTTATTGGGACAGCCAAAACTGAGGAGTACATCCCATAAGAGCTCTCTCTGCACGGTGTCGAATGCTTTTGAGAGATCGACAAAGGCCATAAACATGTCCTGATGTTGCTCCCGGCACTTTTCCTGAAGCTGCCGGGCTGTGAAAATCATGTCGATCGTGCTCCTATTCTTCCTAAATCCACACTGGGATTCAGGCAGCATTGACTCAGTGATGTTGTTAATGAGTCTATGAAGCATCACCTTGGCCAGGACCTTACCACCCACAGAAAGGAGTGATAAGCCCCTACTATTGCCGCAGATGGCCCTGTCACCCTTGTTCTTATAGATAACAGCAATATTTGCATCTCTCCATTGCTGTGGGATGTTCTCATCAGTCCA